GCAAACGTGCTAAGGGGGGGCGGAGGAATGAGACGGCGGTTAAAGGGGGCGGGGTGGAAGAGTCTGCATCCCGGGCCGCCTTGGAACCTGGACCCTCAGGCTTTGGTCTCCGCTCCTACCGTCCCTACTCTGAGCGCGCGGGCTTGCTGACTCCTCGCGAGCTGCCAGGCGTGGGGGGGGGGGCAGGGGGACGCCGCTGCCCCGCCCCCAGGAACCACGCCTCCCTCCTCGCTGAGGGACAGCGCCTCCCCAGGGGACTGGGGAAACTGAGGAAAAGCCCTGAAGACTGGGAGATCCGATGCTGGGGAGGGCCGGGCTAGAATGGGGATGTGGGGCCTGGAGCTTCGGCTTCGGAAAACCAGAGACCTTTGTCTCTGACCGGTTTCCTTCCCAACCAGGGTTGCCCACCCCTACCACAATGGCCTCTGGGGTGGAAGTCCTGCGCTTCCAGTTGCCTGGCCACGAGGCCGCTACACTGCGGAACATGAACCAGCTCCGCGCTGAGGAGCGGTTTTGCGACGTTACCATTGTGGCCGACAGCCTCAAGTTCCGTGGCCACAAGGTCATCCTGGCTGCCTGCTCACCGTTCCTGCGGGACCAGTTCCTGCTGAACCCCAGCTCTGAGCTGCAGGTCTCATTGATGCACAGTGCACGCATCGTGGCAGATCTGCTCCTCTCCTGCTACACGGGTGCGCTGGAATTTGCAGTCAGGGACATCGTCAACTATCTGACGGCTGCCTCCTACCTGCAGATGGAGCACGTGGTGGAGAAATGCCGGAATGCCCTCAGCCAATTCATCGAGCCCAAGATTGGCCTCAAAGAAGATGGGGTCAGCGAGGCCAGTCTCGTGAGCGGGGTCAATGCCACCAAGTCCCTCCTTCCTCCCGCCAGGACCCCAAAACCGGCCCCCAAGCCCCCTCCCCCACCTCCTCTACCCCCTCCGCTTCTGCGGCCGGTGAAACTGGAGTTTCCTCTGGATGAGGACCTGGAGCTGAAAGCAGAGGAGGAGGATGAGGATGAGGACGAGGATGTATCTGACATCTGTATCGTCAAGGTGGAGTCAGCTCTGGAGGTGGCACACCGGCTAAAACCCCCCGGAGGCCTTGGAGGGGGTTTAGGCATTGGGGGTTCTGTTGGCAGCCACCTTGGGGAACTGGCCCAGAGCAGTGTGCCCCCCAGCACTGTGGCCCCTCCACAGGGTGTGGTGAAGGCCTGCTACAGCCTATCTGAAGACGCAGAAGGGGAGGGCCTGCTGTTGATCCCTGGAGGCCGGTCGAGTGTGGGGGCCACCTCGGGTCTAGTGGAGGCAGCAGCAGTGGCCATGGCTGCCCGGGGGGCGGGGGGCAGCCTGGGTGCAGGGGGCAGTCGGGGCCCCATGCCTGGGGGTTTCTCAGGTGGGAACCCCCTGAAGAACATCAAGTGCACCAAGTGCCCAGAAGTGTTTCAGGGCGTGGAGAAGCTGGTCTTCCACATGCGGGCACAGCATTTCATCTTCATGTGCCCACGCTGCGGCAAGCAATTCAACCACAGCAGCAACCTCAACCGCCATATGAACGTGCACCGTGGCGTCAAGTCGCACTCATGTGGTATTTGCGGCAAGTGCTTCACACAGAAGTCCACACTACACGACCACCTCAACCTGCACTCGGGAGCACGGCCCTACCGCTGCTCCTACTGCGATGTGCGCTTTGCCCACAAGCCTGCCATCAGGCGACACCTCAAGGAGCAGCATGGCAAAACCACAGCCGAGAATGTGCTGGAGGCCAGTGTGGCAGAGATCAATGTTCTCATCCGCTAGCAGGAATAGTGCAGAGGCAGGAGGCTGGGGTCCCTGAGCTGGATGGGAAGGTGCCCTCTGTGGCCTGGGAGAATGGTTTGGGGGGAGACTGGGGCAAGAAAGTACCTTGGGGAACTTGAGCAGACACACATTGTGAGGGAGGGGGTGAAGATTCTTTGGTGGTAAAACCCAGTCTCTACAGAGCTGAAGACAGAGGTAGGATTCTTTGAGAAGGCCAAGAGAATATGAGGTCCCAGAGAAAGGTTTCTTCTCTTAGAGGTGCATGGATAAGTGGAGGGAGGGAAAGGGTCCTATAGAATGAACAGAAAAAAGACTGGGAAATGTTTTATTCTGGGCTAAGGCTGCCCAGGAGGAGGTTCTGATGTTTCTTGAGGTAGGGATTGGGTGGGTGGGACTTGGGAGGGAATTTGGCAAGGTGCAGCTTATTTGCTCCTGTTTAGAATAGATCCTTGGGAGACAGAGTGGTAGACAGCAAAGGTTATTAATCCCAGAAAAGAAAGGGGAAGACAGCTCTTGCATGCTGGGGGAAGGGGACTGTTGAGTACAAATTCTAGAGAGAACAAAGGTGCCAGGTAAGAATATGGAAGTGAGCATCCTGGGTAGATATTGGGTGAAGTAGGGGTGGGCGGGAGGGCACTTAGGAGAAAGAACACAGGAAGGGCTGTTGGGGAGGGAGAGTAGTAGAGACTTATACAGTATTTTTTAAGAAAACAAAACGTATTTTTTAGGATTTTTTCTGGAGTTTGGGGTTTTAGTTTTTCTTTTATTTTCCATAAAATAAAAAAAAGAAAAAACTTTTTTCTTCACACTCTGGCAACTGCGTGTATGAGTGGCCCTTTTTTTCCCCACCAGTTCCATATGCATCCCACCCTAGACAGCCTCTCCCTCTGATTCTGTGTGCTCAGTACCCAGAGGTCACATGTCATGCAGGTCCTGTAGCTTAAGGAGCCCAGTTTTTGGGGTGAGGGACTTCTCTGGCCAGGGACTCAACCTTGTAATCTCAACACCTGGCAGAATATCTCATACCGCAAGTGTGCAGCAGTTGTTTGGCAGTGGTGATGTTACAGATGGACTGCTCCCTTAGTTGAGTAGTTTGCTATCAGGGATAGAGAGATGGGTTACAGGTAGTCAATATATCCACTGAAATTGCAAGCAGAATTCTGTGAACTTTTTTTTTCCCCCCAGTCCCAGGAAAGGGCCCGTGGGAGCGGGGATGTTAAAAATCCGTATGTTTGTATTAAGGTGGAGGGAAGACTACAAGTCCCAGAAAGCTTTGAAATAGTTTTTAACCAAAGAGTACTACAGTTCCCAGAAGGCCTTGAATTGCCTCAGGTGTCCCATATCCCAACCACCTGTCTGTGTCAAATGCTGCGTGTGAAATCGTGCAGATATTCCCCAGCTTTGGCCAGAATGCAGTACCTAATGGGATGGTACCCTAAATACTACTACTGAAATTGTGTGTTTTGATACTATAACGATACTTCCATTGACAACTGGGCTACATATGACCCATGGAGTGCCTGACTTTGTATTTAGTAAAAAGCTTACTTACTGCAGGATTACCAAATATTAATGACTCTTGGGCCACTACCTGGATCCCTAGTGCGTGTGATGCCATAACAAACCCGGCATAAACAGAAGAGACGTTTTAGTTCCAGGTTTTCAAAAGAGAACGCTGCTCCAGGGGACACGAAGCAGTATGTCAGAACCAACCATGAATAAAGGTGTCCTCCGAGCGGTCCCACTGCCCCCTTGTTCGTTAGTAAAGTGAGGCCAAGCCTATCTGGTGACCCAGAAACTAGAAAGACAGCAAAGCAACCAGAGGGAGGAGACACTCACGAGGGCCGAAAGGAAATACAGCCGCTGCCGAGAGCCGGGAGGCTCAGACGCACCGCTAGTTACCTAAAACCAGGTGGGGATGGAGAAGCCACACCTGGACGCAGGCGTACCTCGCCCTCAGTTCCCCGCAAAGCTGAGGTGAGAAATGGCAGGAATTCTTGCCTGCGGTCCCCAGCTTCCGCCAGCAACCGCCATTTCCAGGGCCGCTCCCGAGGGAAAATGGCCAGAAAGCGCGTCGCGGCTCCTTTAAGGCTCTTCCTTGCCTTCCCTCCCCCCGCCCACGTGACCCGGGGCGGCCGCGCGCCGGCTCAGCCCCCTGCGCGAGCGGCGATGGCG